CAAGACAAACGAGCGGCAAGCCAAGAGGAAGATGAGCTACTTGGAAAGAAAAGAAAAAAGAAAAGAAAATGAGTTACTTGGAGACCACAATACTGAGAATGAAGTGGCTATAAATGCAAATGAAAATGAGCTTAACAGTGAAAATAAAGAAAGAAGTGGCACGGGAAACGGGATTCTTGCTACTATCACAGTGCCGCAGCAGAAGAAAGTTTTATTAGGGAATGGATTGTGATACTGAGTTGAACAGTAGATTAAGTCTCTTTTATGCCGTATATATCTTGTTTATACTTCCTCAGTCACTTCATCTTCCTAAAAATTAAATATTCTTTCACATAGCCTGTCCCATAGCTACTTTCACTTTCAAAAGTCCAGTACAGTAATCCACCAAACATATTTGTAGATTTGTGTTTTACAGACGTCTTTAAAATTGTTTCAATAATGAATTGTTTCAAAGAATTTATTAAGAATTCCTAGGTGCTGTATTACAGACAAGCTTGGTTAACCTTCGTGGGTTTTTCCGAAAGTAGTTGTCTGAAATGGGGTCTTTAAAAAGTTGTAGGTTGCAGACAGAACAAAAGTATTTGTGGCAGTTATGCAATACTAGTTTTTGCCCCACAGATGCACTTGTAATGCTCATCAAGTATAAGTCAGAATAAAGCTAATAAATACTTTACAGTAAGCTCTTATAAAGCTAGTCTGGTGTGATTCTTTGCAAATGTAATTCAATAAGTTCTTCCAAAATTGAATAGCATGTAATGTGAAGGCCCCTTTCATATGCTTTTCAAATTTGGATATATTAAGTTGCATTTACAAAGAATTGCTCTGTATAGAGGAGCTTTATAAGGAAGCTTACTGTACTGTATTGTGAAATGTGAAGTTTTATCACTCTTGAGGAACAGAGAGACCTCGTTTATTTTTTATATATAAACAGAGGTGTGTATTAGTGCATTATATTCAAGGCCAAAATGGTAAAGTACAGGGTGTCCATGAAAACACTCCCTGATTTCAGACAGGGATCATATGCAACTTTATTGTAATAATCTTTCACAGTTAGTAGTTTCAGATGCAGGATTTCATTCAGTTTCATGTGGTATAGGGTAGCATTAAAGGCACTCAATGTGCACCCCTCTGGTTGCTCGGCAAACATCATTGTGATAGTCCAGTTCGATCCAGATGCTCTGCAGCATATCTGGTGTTATCATGCAAACTGCTTCACTGATTAAAATTTTCAGCTCCTCCAGGGTTGCAGGTAGTGGTGGTACGTAAACTCTGCTCTTCACGTACTCCCAAAGAAAGAAGTCACAAACAGTTAGGTCCGGTGACCTCTGCAAGTGGCCTGTGAGGTCACCAGACCTAACTGTTTGTGATTTCTTTCTTTGGGAGTACTTGAAGAGCACAGTTTACATACCACCACTACCTGCAACCCTGAAGGAGCTGAAAATTTCGATCACTGAAGCAGCTCGCATGATAACACCAGATATGCTGCAGAGCATCTGGACCGAACTGGGCTATCACATCGATGTTTGCCAAGCAACCAGAGGGGCGCACATTGAGTGCCTTTAATACTACCCTATACCATATGAAACTGAACGAAATTCTGCATCTGAAGCTACTAACTGTGAAAGATTATTACAATAAAGTTACATGTTATACTTGTTTGAAATCAAGGAGTGTTCTTTTGGACACCCTGTATAACTGCTATTTAAATTGAGGCTTACCTATAATGATGCTTGTCTTTAAAAAATGCTAATTTAACTTTTTTTTTTTTACCTCAGTGGATCGAACTGTTAGTTAAAATAACCTTTAATAAAGTCAAAGATCTGGTAAGATTTTTCTCTTGACTATAAACTTTGTTTTATCTTCTTGGTGTCTTAACTGTGTAGTGAGAGTTCAGGAAGGTCTCATGCGATGTGATACAGTATTATGTACAGTCAGATCATATGTAATTTTAAGCTGAAGATTACGGTGAATTCCTTATTTAGAACAGTACTGTATTATGTTGTATCAGGGAAATAGTGGCATTCATATATTCTACACCACATGCTTCTCCACTTAAAAGAAAACCTATCAGTTTTTGTCTGTTTTAATAAAAGTGAAAATATTGTAATGGCAAGAAAGTCTGCAAATTTATTATGAATCATAAAAATAAATTTACATTCTTCGAATATGTTAGTTTGGTAAAATAAAAAGCAACAAAATGGCACAAATATTTCAAAATATCAGATAAGAGAGTTGCTTGCTTACATCTTGAACGAGGCTTGCCTAATAAGACATATGTTAGGGTAATAATCTATATCTGTACAGCTTTGGTGTGGCAGTAGGTAATCATTCACTCTACACCTTTCAATAATTTTAAAGCCGTAGTCTATTCATTAAAATAGAATTGATGTGTTGCGCAGCTTGGTGTTCACAAGCATGTTGGTTCTGGATTCTGTCTATGCATGCTTTGCTCTTTGTTGAGCTGATGTGTCAGACAGCTTGTATTTCAGAAGCTGTCTGATGCATCATATTTAACATGTATTGCACTCAGCTCAGTGTTATTGGCATGTGTGAGGGTTGTGGTGTCTGACTACTCTGACTGCTCTTAAGATTGAACCAAAGAACACCTTGTGTTCTTCACACATTAGGTGGTTCTTTTTTCTGGCTACTTTACCTTTGATATACCTTTGATGAGTTTCAAGTGTCTTGCTACTCTTGGAGCCAGGCTCGTCTGGTGCTAGCCTGGTCAACCAGGCTGTTGCTGCTGGAGGCCCACTGCCCCACATATCCGTCACACCCTGGTTGATCTGGCACTGGTGAAGATACTTGAAGACTTTACATTTGTTCCAGCAATATTTCTGATATCTTGTGATACGATGTTGAATAATCTGGGGCCATAAATGTTGATAGTGTTCCCTTATTGGCTACAAACACTGCATCCTGTTCCATTGATTTACCTCCACATCCCTTTCTCAAACAAAACTTTCTTCTTTCAATGCACCAGCTGTATCCCACCAAAACAGTGTGGTCCAAAAAGAAAAACAAAAGTTTCTCCAAACAAAACTTGTCTTAATTTTTATTCTTTCCTGTGCCTTTTATTTCCTGTTTCTTCCTCACTACTTTAGCACTTTCAAGTACATTTTAAGAGCATGTATTTAGATATTACAGTTTAGTTTCATTGCAAGAGATCACTAGCTGTTTCAAAGTTAAAAATAACTAAACCAACTTATTGAATTTGACAGCTGTTTTGGGTGCTCTTGTGTAAGTCTTCATTTATTCCTTGAATGAATAAGAAATGTGGGAGTTAATATTCAATATTTGGGTCTCTTTAAGAGGTCACTTGGTGTGGTGAAGGGCTCTTGATTTGGGGAATTAGAATCCTTTTCTCCTTGGATAAAATATATTCCCTCCTTGGAATTGCCACTCCTAGACAGAGGAACAGGGATCGTTATCTGTCTCCTTCCTTTAACCCTTTCACCGTCGGTCCCATAATATTACGGCTTGCAAGCCAGTATAGGTTCTGTAATGCTACGCCAAAATTCTAGTGATTTCCAATCTTGCCGGAGAAAGCTGGTAGGCCTACATATGTGAAAATTCGCGCAGTATAAAAAATCCTGCAGCACACACTGCATAATAATAAAAAAAAATCCAACTGTGTTTTTGGTTTAAAACAGCAACTTTGTGGTGTATTTTTGCATGGTATTTGTGATTGTATTCTTGTTTTCTTCGTCTCATTTGATACATTGGAAAATTTTTACAGAAATAGAGATGATTTTGAGTGGTTTTCGGACTAAAAGTACCTTGAAATTGAGCTCAAAGTAGCAGAAATGTTCGATTTTTGCTTTTGTTCAGGAGTAAACAAATAGTGTTAGAGTCCAGTACACGTCAACTGGTGGGTCTAATATGCTTTCACAAATGCGCTGATATTATTTATACCATTTTTACAATAATGCAGTAGTCTGCATAACAGTAAATCTTGTATTTTTGTGTGAATGAAAATTCAAAATGGTAAGCAAGGGTAATACAAGAGAGGCCTGGAGACATGACTAATGAACAGAGAAAATGTTATTTTAGTGCTAGGAATGTTTGCAGTGTTAATTCTGGACCCTATTTTGAAATTGGCCTTCCTTAAATTGTGTATGAAATTGGCCAAATTACCAATTTTTGGTCACTTTATTGGGTAGTTGAAATCTTATACTCATCGATAGAACAGGAGGAGTTCTAGCAAAACAACCATCAGTTTGGTTGCCTGGGACAATGGAATTGGCCGAACATATGGCTCAGAGTGGGCGATGCGTAAATATCGCCAAGACCATTTTCCATTTAATTTCATACTATTGGTTTCATTGCCATTGGGAAAAGATTCTCTATTTCATAAGAAAAAATAATTTTTTTTTTAATTCAATACTGAAAGCAAGTTTGTGAGCAGGGGTCTCGACAGTGAAAGGGTTAAGGACCTTGGTTGTGTGGGATTTTTCTATAGAAATGAGCACATAAATATTATATATAATAAAAGGAACCACAAAGTGATTGTACTTATCTTGATGATGACTGGTAGTTTCTCGCAGCCTCTCCCAAAAGCTACCCCTTCGACTTTTACATCATCCTATGGCCCACCAAGGCTGTGAAAGGTGTGTACATAAGTTAGTGCCTACCTATAAATCAAAATGTGCCATTGTTTCATGTATACACATGTAAGGTCATGGTGCAAGTCCTACCTGGTGTTGGGCAATGACCCATAAATCATGATCTCCAAAAGGTCGGTGCAATTCTTCTGACATAAACCTAGGTACTGCAGTTCTGTAAGATGGCAGATGTAAGAGATAGAATAGTACCTACCTGGCTCATGTAACTGGGGCCTGTAATGCTGTTGCCATCACTGAGGCCGAAAATGTTGCCTTGATTGCAGAGATGATAAGAAACAATGCTGTCAGCTTCTTTAACTGCTGGGCTCTTCTGGGTGAACTACACCAGGTGAAGACCCCAGTGGTACTTGTAACACCTGTTCACATGGCACTACACATGCACTCGGGAGACTGGCTCGTCAACGTAATCTCATTCTCGACTAATGTCTGCACTAAGCACAACCAAGCCCGCAGTCCTTCATGACAGGAAGGATTGACAATGATGCTTCGAGAAGTTCATATCCTTTCCTATTTCCTTCCTGGAGATTGTCAGCGTGGCTAAGAGTACATGATGCACATGAGATATGGCCATTAATGTGTCTGCGTTTCAACACAGTATAACCTGATGGCCCACAAACCTTCCTCACATCTTCACTTTGCCAACATTAACTGCAGTATTCCTGTTGCTACGTCCCTGTCCTCTTTTATGGACAGAGATTTCTGCTGATGCACAGTAGACAGGCAGGGTGCCGACTCTGACTACTCAGGATAACCAGAGAGGAAGGATTCCTCTAGATTAAGTTGTTGGCTATATACTGAGATACTAAGTGCATATATAGTGCACAGGTACATTTTCTCTGATTTTTACTTGCCTGGGGAAAGGCATTCTACCAAACAAAACGTCTTCTTTGTAATTTGAGCAGAGATTACTTTGTCAGGGTAACTCCTGCACATGTGATCTCGTCTTGAGTGTCACCTTTATCAGCTATGAATCATTAATCTTGTTAGATTCTGCACACTCAGAACCACGTGTGAAGACGAATAGTCATTATGGAATGCAATAATTGGATCTGCTGGTAAAAAAAGATGCAAGGCATGATCCCTCCCATGCTCAGAGTGTGGGGAAATGTTGGCACTCACTGCCTGTAGGATGTGTTTGAAGACCATAAAATCTTGCTTCAATTTAAAGTTTCTTACATAGACTACAATGTTACAAGAGATATGAACCTTCCATCTCACTGATGGAAAGTCAGAGTTGCACCTCTGACCCACTCTTCCCTTATGTGACCCATGCAAAAGAGAGAAGCCTCTTTGCATTGCAACCCACTATTGTAAATACAAAATCTCAATGTACTGTTTGCAAAGACATAAAATAAATAAATAAATAAATAAATCCCAGCTGAAGGGGGTCACCTGCCACCCAGGGGAGGGGGGGGCATCACTAGTCCCAGAGGCAACCATCACCTGGTTGCATCACATTGGCGGTGGT